GGTAGGAATGCTGGAGGAAGTATTACTTTGTTTACTAAGGATAAAGTTTTCTAAGTTTCTTGGCGAAGTTGGGTGGGAGCGCACGGGAAAGCTCGGTGGGTGTTTGTGCAGGCAGTACCCAGGAAACGTGAATTGGTTTTAAGAATCTTGACATTTTATTCGGCTGTGGGCGGCAAGGGTTAGGCGCGGGGCGGACCGACACTTCTCAGGTCAGGTCAAGGGCAGGCTGTTCTCCGCGCACTCTCAAAAGTGGCTCTGGGAGGAGTCGGGAGAAGCCGCACTTGCATCCTCGTGGGTGGGGAGTGCGAGACCTCCTCGACTCCAGCCAGCTGGGTGAATAGGGCGCGCAAGGCCCCGTAACGCCGAGGCTGGATAAAATATGCCGGGACTGCGCTTCTCCCGCTCATCAAGGCTGCGGGAGCCTCCCCGAGCTATCATCCTTTGTAATTGCAACCGTCAATCAACACTTGAAGACAAAGTCAGAACCGGGAAGGGCGAGCCCCCGAGACTATCCTTGTTGGAAAGGAGGGGGCGCGGGGGAGAGAGTGAGGAGGGAGAAGTTTGCTAGAAGTTGGTGGCAGTGCAGGGGCAAACGCGCAGGGTAACTAAAGTCGGAGCTAGAGACATCCAACCCTCCGGGGTTCTACGCCCCAGGCTAGGCGGGTGGATTTCCAAGTGTGCTTCTATTAAATTGCAGACTTACATTAGACAAAAGATGTCCCCCGCGGTGGATGGGATGTGTCTCCCAGTTCGCGGTTGTTGTCTGCTTGGGTTGTTGCCTACCATTGCTGGAGTCAGTATTTAGACCACAGGACCTGTTCCACCTACTTTTCCATCCCAATTGCTTCCCCTTACCTCCACCACTAGTGTCTCTGGTCTCTCCAGCGGCCTTGGGAAGCTAGAACCATCCCTAGTAATGCTGTTAGATACCCCGACCTCCGCCTCCCGGCACAGCTCTGGGACAGAAAGAGAGTTCCTGGAGGGAGACACCCCAACAGACCCAAGGCTGGCTTCAAGGTCGCCTTCGGTGGGTCCTCTGCCCAACGAAATTGGAGGGGCCAAGAGCCCAAAGTCTGTCTAAAGATTAAAGGGCTTTGAGAGGGTGCACTTAGAAAGCTTGTAATCTACTTGGCGGCGAAGCTAAATCCCCGCGCCCCTCCCTCAGCATCTGCACTAGGATCCGAGACAAGTCTCTGCTCCCCAAAACTTGAGCGATTTCAGAGGGGAAAAGGTGAGTGTACCCTTGGATTTCCGACAAAAACAAATTCCTGTAGATTTCCTGCCTTGAAAACCTCAGATGAGCCCGTTTCCACAAGTTTGGAAATCTGAAATAGAGTTGGATCTAGGAAATCTTGTCCCACCCTGGAGCCAGAAGTCAAAATTCCCTTGGTTCTGGGAAAAGGCAGTTAACTTTCTTTTTCTTTTTCCTTTTTTTCTTTTCTTCTTTCTTTCTCTGTCATCCTTCTTTTTTTTTTTTTTTTTTTTTTTTTTTTTTTGAGGTAGGGTCTGGCTGTGCAGCTCTGGCCAACTTGCTGCCTGCTATGTAGACCAGAGTGGCCTGAACTCAGATATCTCCCTGCCTCTGTCTCCGGAGTGCTAGAATTAAAGGCTGGTACTTCTTCCTGTTGGCTGCTAAGCAGAAAGCTCTGTCTGGAAGTCCTATCAGTCCTCAAAGCCTGTCTTCCCCTTGTCTTCAATCCCTTGTTCCCTGTTTCCTTGGAAAGTCTACCTATGGGAAGATAAATGGAGGCCCCTCTGACCTTTGGCCACTATAGCTCCATCTTTGGGAAAAGTGCTGGGGGGCAGATTGGACTAGTCACTAATGTGGCCCAAGCCAAGTCCTTTTGGCCCTGAAGCTGGAGCTATGAGCTTGATTGCATCACTGGGTCAGCTTCAGCATCTAGTCCTGACTGAACTTCCTGCCATGTAGGGTTACAAGGTCCTGCCAGGCCTTTTAACTTCTTCAACTCTGAGAATCTCCCCAGGCTGAGGGCTTCCTAATAATGCACCAGAGGGCTGTGAACTCCCTCTTAGGACCTAGAGGCTGGAACTAGAGGACCAGGCTAGGCTGGTGGGTGGGAAAATGCTGAGCTCAAGCCTCTGTGAGCCCTAGAACTGAAGTGAGTAGAGTTATTCTTAAGGCTTTGAAATAAACTGGTATTTTATGTTCACCTGATCTTGGAAGTAAAGCAAGGTTAGTAATGATTTGAGCCTTGAGACTCCCTCTTTTTCTGAACTATGTAAGAATATGTATTCATAATTCATAGTGATGTCTTAAACAACTGGCAATACTGAAATGTATTGACATTGTTACTTGATACTAGCATGAAAACTTGAGCTTAATGGTCACTAATTTGGGCAAATTCAGCCCCCTTTCCTCATACAAACGAATTGGCAGGCCTCCTCAATTTCTATAGCCAGAAAGGACTTGCTTGGGCCACATTAGGTTTCCAAGAATCTTGAAGATGCTACTAAAACTGAAATTTAAATAATCGTTAGATTCTAAATATATATCTAAAAGCAAGAAGGCATCTGTTTAGAGTCAATAGTATTCAAATTGCTAGAAGAGGCCTACTTCATATGAAAGTGGTAGCTTTGCACTGCAATGATTGGAATAATTTTGTGTTCATCAAATACCAGACTGAGCAGTTTGTATGATCTCTGAGCCATTTAAATAGAATACATTCAGATCTTTTGAGATTCAAATTCACCCCCTTGTGGGTGGATTCTGTTAATTACTCTGTTGCATGGGCAGACCCTGGATTGAGGCTTTTTTGCTTCCAGTCAGGAGGCTAGAAAGAATGTTTTTCATCTTGTTGGGATGAGATCTGAAAACTTTGAAGACATGGCTGGGCTGGTGGCCGAAGAGCTTACAGAACAGATGGTTCTTTAAAACTTTTTTTCTTAATGCTAAGCCTCTGGACCTCATGTGGATCAGTCCCCCAAATAGACACTAGGATGTAAGAGGAAAGTGAGGTGATCTTTCCATTCTACATAGAAGCGGGGCTCACTAGAACTAGAAAGTCTGTCACTAAAATAATCTTGGACTCAAGTGGAGGGTCCTACATAACAGGAGAGGGAGCTGGAGTCCTGAATGGGGAAGCAGGAGTGCTCTTTAATTCGAAGCTAATCAGAGAAATCTCAGCCCCTTTATTGAGGTTCAACTCTGGTTCTCTAGGGCGCTGGCACTTGTGTGGTGTGGCCTCTTCTACATAACCGATCCACCATCCTGCATTTGAGAAGATTCAACATCCCTTTTCTCCTCTAGGTATTTTAGGTAGACATTTAACTCCTCTTCGTCTACTCTTCCCACAAGCCAGCTAGGACCACCTACACCCGCACACATATCTGTTCTCCTCACATCCGTGTAGCTGGTGGAAATGGCCTCCCAGTCTTCAGGTCCTTTGCAGCAGCCCTCAGACGCAGGTCTCTTCTCACTAGCTGTGAAACCTAGCTGCACGTACATCCCCCCCCCCCCCGCCCCCCCCCCCCCTCTTCCCCCCCCCTTCCCCCCCCCCCCCCCCCCCGGCCATCCCCGCCCCAGGCCAGGGTGGGGTAGGAGTGGGTTAAGGCGGGGTGAAGAGGTTGGGGCAGGCGTGGGGACCCAAGCTTCCTCATTGGCTGACGGCTAGTGTCCGACTTGAGTCCGGAACCGGCGTACCCACACACTGTCCTCACCTCTCCACCCAGCACCCCCTCCCTTACTTACCTCCCTTCTCCTGCTTCCCCCTTTCCTCCCAGCATCTTCACCCTTGGGGTTGGAAAGGGCTGCCCTCGGACACGCGAGAGGAGTAAACGAGACAGGAGTGGGAGGTTGGAACTTCACAACTCCGCACTTGTGCTAGGGAGCGAGAGGGAGCTGAAGGAGATAGGGGGAAGGGGCGGAGAGGCTAGGAGAGGAAGAAGAGAAGTGAGGCGAGGGAAAGAGAGAGAGAGACCCCTGCCGATCCCGAGCTAGAGGGCGGGTGCCGGGAGGGGAAAGAGTCGCCCCAGCTGTCCCGAGCGGCTCAGCCGCGTGCAGCAGCCGCTGGGCCACCTTCCACACCGCTGCCCTTCCACACCGCTGCCCTTCCACACCGCTGCCTGGGGCAGTTGCGCCCTCCTGAGTCGGATCCCGGGCGCCTTCGAAGCCTGGCTGGGCAGCCACGACCTCCCGCCTGCAGCTTGAGGCGGCTCCGGAGCTGCGAGACCGGAGGACCTGGCTGCGAGGTCCTGGCCGGTGGCTCGGGAGGAGGCAGAGGCAAGCTCCCGCGAGCGGGCGGGCGAGCGGGCACCCTGGTCACCCCTTCTCTTTCCGCCGGAGTTGAATCTCTGCTGCCCGTGTCCAGGTGCTGGGCTTCCGGACGGACACCGACCCCCCATTCCCGCCCGCAGCCGCCTGGTCATGCTGCCCAAAGTGGAGACGGAAGCCCTGGGACTGGCCCGGTCGCATGGGGAACAGGGGCAGATGCCGGAAAACATGCAAGGTAAGGAGGCGCCCTGAGCGCCCCGCGGCTTTTCCACCCTCCGGCGAACCCTTCGGGCTTCAGTCTCTTGCCCAGCGGCGGGCACTCGAGTCGCCGGGCTGCGGGTTTGCGAGTCGCGAGGCTGCGGGTTTGCAGCCCGCCACAAGCTGCACGCGGGCATTGGCCTCTTCCACGCGGGCATAAAAGTTAATGGCTCTTGAACTAGGCGGACAGAGCTTTCCCATCAATGTCTAATTGGCCGCTTCTAATTAAAAAGGGCCTTGTAGCTCAGTGGCAACTGCAGCCGGGCAGCTTGAGGCTAAAGGCACTGTGGAATAAGGGCTTTCTGAGAAATGTAATTCCTCGCTGGACATTCTTGCTCTCTGGAGCTGCAGTGCACTTTAATGCTCGGGTGTGGAGGGAGAAACCTGACTCGGGAAGTCAAGTGCAGAGGAGATCGCAGTCAGATTATTAGACCATTTGTAAGTGGTGTTAGCTGGGTTAGAATCATGTGCGTATCCCCAAAGCCCAAGCTGACCCCGTAGCCGGCTGCGATTCGGGCGACTTCAAAACTGCTGGCAGAACTTAAAAGAACTAAAGTTATCCCAACTCCATTCCCTGACGAGTCTACCGAACGCCAGGTTACGGTGCTGAGGGTTAGCGCAAGCCCTTTCTTCCGTTGCAGAGCCGTTCATTGCTTGTTAACAGCAGAAAATGATCAAATCCCACTGGCTGTATTTTCTCCACACTCTAAAATAGTAACTCCATTAAACTCTTCAGAAGTTTATCACATTTGCTCCGGGCCAGGGAGCGAACAATGCTAGGAAAAGTCACCGGTGCTCTTCCATCCTCGCCCCTTCCAAGTGCGCAGGATGTGCCCGCCGGCCGGTCTGTGATCCGGGAAAGCTTCCTGCCAGAGGTTGGAGCGAACTTGAAAGGGTCTAAGAGGTGTTGAGAGCCGAGAACTGGGCTAGCACGCGCCATGGTGCAGGGTTGGCGCGCCAGGGGTGCACTGGCCGGAGACCTGAGGTCGCCCTACAGCAGAGGAAGAAAGGGGTGGCAGGCCTGTGGATGGGGGTCACTTATCCTGGGTGATCCTGGGGTCTCTCCAAGTTTTGGGGTAGGGCTGTGGACGTCTCCCCTGGCCAAAGTTCCCCACACTAACTTTGTGTGTCGGCTGGGGAGGGAACCCTGTTGGTCCAAAAAAGCACTCGGTGCGCCACCCTGGGATTCCAGAGAAGTACTTGGGGAAGCAGCCGGCAAAGCAGGCCTGGGGCACTTCGGCCTCCAACTCTGCTATTCTTGGGGCACCAGGTGAGGCAGACTGGGTTCTTGGGTCGGAAAGAATAGTTGGTACTTTCTATTTAGGCACAGGCATTTCGGTGGACCCCAGAAGAAGCAGCGCAGGGGGACTTGGACAAAGGGGAATGGAAAGAAACAGGGCATTCTGAGGGTTGAGGAGAGAAATGCCCAGGCAGTGTTTTCTTTGTGAAGTTCCCGGAGGTCCCTTCTTGGCACTGCCTCCAGCCCCAAAGCCAGAACATTAGTTCCTGTAGTTCACCCTAGTGCTGGTGATTAGGAGATCTAGCCCTGGGCCTTGGATTTGAAAACAGGGTGGAAAATGCCCAAATGCCTGGTGCCGCTTCCCCTGGGGCGAGGGACCAGTGTACCAAGAGGCGCCCATAGAATCGCTCACCCCATTCCCATGCGACTTCTGGTTCCCGGTGGGGCCACATCCATACTCTGACAGATGCTGGAGTCTAGAAAGAAGAGCCGTTGCTGAATTCTCAGGCAGCATCAAGCATCCAGCTTTTCAGGAACTTCTCTACACCTTGGAGGACTTATCGTTCCAGGACCCGACCTGTCTGTCCTCTCTCTTTTCTCCACGTAGAGTCTTGGGAGAGGGAGAGCATGGGGACTTTTTGGCTGGGACAATTTGGGTTCTCCTAACTCCAATTTCAGGTGCCCGGGGCCGGTGGGTAACTCAAAAAGATGCTCTGGCCTCCCATGGCAGCATCTCTGTATACTCAAGACTCTGGTTTCTGCCAGAGGATCCCCAGCTTGGGCCTCCTAATTTTTTTGTCACATCTGAGATGACTATGGAGACTCTTAAGCCTGTCTGTGAGAAGTTAAATTTTACTTTGTTGGGAGAAGGGGAGACAGAAAAAAAAAATCTAGTAAAGCACACTTTACCCTCATCTCTAGAAGATGCCTACAAAGAGAAGTCAGTTTTCAGAACGCTATAAACAAATTTCTCCAACTCTCATTCTCTCCCAAACCATCAGGTACCGGTCCCAAACCCTCAGGTCCTGGATCCCTAGCAGGGCTCGGGACGGGCGCTCTAAGGGTGGTGATTCAGGCTGGCACCGCTGGGAGAGAAGCACTCGACATCACTTATTTCTAAGTCACCGAGAATCCTAGCCACTGCTCTTGCTGGCACCCCTTCCCGGAATCTTCACAAACTGTTGCTCCCGACCTGCCTGAGCTGTAGCCTAGGGCTCTGTGTTGGGAAGAGAGGCCACCACAGTGCCAGAAAAAGGAACTTTATTCTAAAAGAATAAATCTTCGGCAGGGAAGCCACCAGGTGATAAAGTGGTTGGGTACTTCAGCCGTGGGGTGGGGGTGTTTCTAAGTTTCCTTTTTAGTAAACAAATCAGATGAAACCTCTGCCAGGTTGTGGCTACCCCTCCTCTGCCCCGCCCCTTGTAATGCCACTGATTAACTTAAAACAAACTCTCTTGGAGTTTGTGCGCCATTGGGTAGCAGAGGGTTGAGCAAGGGCCAAGAGCCGGGTACACCCAGAGTTTAAAGAGGGTGCGGGGAGCTCGGGCCCTAGCCTGGGTGCTGGCCCACCCAGGTTCCCTGGGGTGGGAAGTGAGGATTTGACCCTAGTGGGCGCGGGGTCTCAAGGAAGGCCACTTCCCTTCACATGCAGTTTATCTTTGGACTGTGAAGATGAAGACCTGTTTACAGGTTAGCCTACCCAGTAAGGTGGCTCCCCATTCCCACAGTGAGCCAGGCTGCCATGGCCTGACTTCAGATTAACAGGGCAATTTTAGAGGTGTTTATACTTTGCAGTGATTATTGGAAGCTTGTGAAGTCCCTGACAAGCTCCAGTACTCTGAGTGCGTCTTTCCTCTTCTGGTGTGTCCCCCTCTTCCAGGTGTCCTGTCTTTCCTTTTTCCTTGCTTTTATTTTCACAGGACATCTCTGTGAGAACAGAACTGGGGTCAATAGGCAATTGAATGCTTTGATCAGTCTAACAGCTCTAACACTGAGGCTGTTAAAGTGACGTTCCTTCTGCATAGCAGGTTTCTGGGGCTCTTCCAATAGGATTTACAAACTGGCTTTACAAACTGGCTCCACTAGCCTCACAAAGGGAGGTCCGCTTGCAGCAAGCCACTTCTAGAGCGCCAATCGTGGACATCCTGATTTTCCTCCCTTAGGCAAAGGTGACATTTTTGGAACTTAAATTCTAGGTTGTTACTTAACATAAATTCATGTTTCTATTCTGATCTGTTGCTTTGCATTGTTATGAGACTTGGTGAATTTAAAATGTTAACTAGGGAAGCTGGATTTATTTGATGTCCAAAGATGTTTTACTTTCATTCTCTTCAATACCATTTGGGTGAAAATTATTTTATATTTTACCTGGTAATATTTGGCTACCAATCACCACGATGTTTTTCCTTACAACGTTAAAACCTACATAGTAAATTAATTCAACACCTGTGCACATTTCTCTTCTTGTTTCAGTATCTCAGTTTAAAATGGTGAATTACTCCTATGATGAAGATCTTGAAGAGCTGTGTCCTGTGTGTGGTGATAAAGTATCTGGGTACCATTATGGTCTCCTCACCTGTGAAAGCTGCAAGGTTTGCTTATCCATTGCTACCTAAAAAATAAAATGTTCAGACTGAAAATAAACCATTGGATTACCTTTTAAAGCTAAATCTAAACTGTTTCTTTTTTAACTCAAAAATGAGGAAAAGTGTGTTAGGAAGATGATTACTTAAAATACGTGTCTGATTTAGTTCAAAAGGCAAAGAAATTTATGTTGTCGGAAGCCTTTACTAGTCTCATGGCTTTAAAATACTTTATTGTCGTAAAATGATTTAGCTGTAGAAACGTTTCCATTTCTAACAGTCCTAAATATTGATTTTGCTTGACTTATATATATTTAAGGCATCGTTGTTCTTGAGAGAGAACATGACAAAGTATATCCCAAATACATTTTAACTTCAGAGTATTCTGTGCTACAAGTCTAAGTGTTTTTTTTATCCACAGACATGAAAGTCTAAATTCACAACTGTATGCTTTCATCCTGATTGAGTCCAAAAATAATCTTTAAGATTTTTTGAAATTTATATCCTAACAACCCAGAAACCAGATTTTAGGTTCTAACTGAATAATTTTGTGTTGATCACATGACTATTAAATGTAAGGGATCTGAGTATATACTAAATGTACTTTATTGTTACAAATTGTCAACACCTTAAGGATTTACGTCAAACTCTTTTTATAGTCCCATAAACTAATTTTCTCTATCTTTTTTCAATATTTTATTTAAAGTAGAAAATTCAGTACAATTACTTAAGCCATTGCTAGGGAAATCCTCTTAGATCTCTATGACAAAGTAAGATTGTTTCTGCTTGTGGTGACTCAGATAGCAAGGGTGCCATGTTATTCTAAAGCCACACATTTTATTTCTAATCAGACCCCTTTGAGGAAAGTGTAAGAAAGGCACTGCTCTGCTCACCTCACCTCCTGGGCCATGCTCATCCTTTCTGTAGTTGTATCTTAAAAGTAAAGTTCTCAAACTTGACTGGATTCCAGTGGAATTAGGAACATTTCCTCATTTCACCCTTGAAATGCTTTTGCTTTTAACAGTCAGTGTTGACACTTGTAAAAGATCTGAGGTGTTTTGCTATTCAGTTCTTCTATTGGCATTTTATAATGGTTTGTGAACTAAAATCATATGAGACTACTTAAAAACAATGTCAGTCTCTATGGCTTACCTCTGTTCGGAGCATGAAAGTTAATAGGAAACCACATTTAAAAAAAAAATCATTGGTCAATATAGAGTGTATTTTTCCTGACTGTTGAAGTGAAATGGAACGCAGCCAAATCACCCCCAAAATTGACGTAATTCTTAAGAAATATAACTCTGGGGCTAGAACGATCTTCACTAAGACCTGGCACTGCTGTGGAGGGTTGGTCTCCCTGAAATGTGAAATAAACCACAGAACCACATAAGGACTCAGTGGTACAATGAAAGGATTTACTGGTGATTTCCTTAAAGTGAAACAATAGAAGAAAGGGGGTTAAAGTTATACCAGGTCTCACTATGTTCTCTGTCTTGTAGGGGTTTTTTAAGCGAACAGTCCAAAATAATAAAAGGTACACGTGTATAGAAAACCAGAACTGCCAAATTGACAAAACACAGAGAAAACGTTGTCCTTACTGTCGATTTCAAAAATGTCTAAGTGTTGGAATGAAGCTGGAAGGTAAGACTCTACTCCCTACCGCCGACTGGGTCCCCTGGGATTTGGACTTTAAAGCACTGTACTTATAATCTGAAGACATTATTTTTCTAGCCTTTTAACACTACTGACAATAACAGAAGGTATTTTTATGTTTTTCTTCCGGAATAGTCTGTGTCTCATTTAAACATGATTACATCTAGAAAAAAAAATTAAACCAAAAAGCTATCAAACTTGCCTCCTTTTTTTTTTTTTTTAATTTTGGGCAGAGATACATTTGATATTTAAAAAGTCAACAAGACTAAAGTGATTCAACAGAGAACAACTAAAATTCACTTGTAAAAGTGTGAAAAATGAGATAATACTTTTAAATTTTCAAAGCAAGATGCCCTAAGTGAATTTAAAAAAAAATACAAGATTATAGTTGTTACTTATTTCATGATTCTTGAAAAAAGTTAAAATTTTTCATTGTGAAAAGCAATTTCTCAAATAGAATTTCATTTTGTAATATACGTGTAAGAATACATACTTACAAGAATAATGAACTATTAATCCAGTCAGTAGCAGAGGTTTCCCAAGCCCAAGACAAGGGTCCCTCAGAAGTCACACTAAACTTGACTGAATGAGCACAGCCTGCATGCACCTCGGCGTTCAGATTGGCAGACAGTGAAGTTAATATGTGACTGCTGTAAATAATTTGTGCTTCATGGACTGTTGTGGTGTGCTGCTATTTTCCGGTCTTTGACCTACTGGCCTTCCACAGATTAAACATACTGCAAATAAAGGCATACTGGTGGCACCGATCACTGAGGTGCTAGATGCAGGGGTGCATTTTATTTGATCAATGGGACACAGACTATTTTTATTTGGAGCTTTTCTGTTATATAGAACTCATGGTTGGTAGAGATACTAATTTTTTTTTCTATTTTCAACTAAATCTGCCAAATTGTTAACAATTCCTCTAAGTAGAAGTAGCCACTTCAGTCCATCATAAGGATTGCTTTTAACAGAAGATTGGAAAAGGAATTACTTGATGTGTATTAATTTTCTGATCATTAGTCACTTTATTTACAAGATAGTGAAGGATTATGGTAGATGTGTAGGATAATATGTGACCCAGAAGATAAAATGTTAAAAATTAAGTGATGTGATTTCATGCAGTGTCCTTTCATTATTCTTTAACAAGAGGCTGAATTTTTCCTGAATATTATGCTTTGTTAATCGTATCTAAGTTACCCATCTCCGTACTCCCACTTCCTCAAGAATGAATGAAATAACAGAATATTGACTAAATTATCTAGATGCAAAACCTTTTATGATCTCATACAGTATTCTGGATACCTAGAATTCACAGTACATTTTTAATGCCTTACTAATCCTGAGATAAAAAGCTCAAAAACTTCACCTCCAGCAATTTCAGCATGTCCCAAGCTGTCAGGTCGCTGGTTTCTGTCTAATTGCCATTGGCCACCGTGGACCCTGTGAGCACTATCATCGAACTTATTAGGCATGGCCCCAACTCCACAGCACTGTGACAGAGGAGCCGCTGGACAGCTTTTGAAAAGACTTTGCTTTAATTATGTCCAATTCTGCTTAAATTCAAAGCAATGGCTGGTAGTTTTCTGATGTACACTTAACCAAGCCCAGGTCAAAGTGATTTTCCAGGAAAAGCCAGTACCTTGTCCTTTCATAACAAAGTAGTCAAAAATGACTAAGAAAGAGGAAGGTGTTCTAAGAAAAAGCATTTAATCCAGAAATGGGTTGATTCTCTTTTTTAAGAGAAACACACACACACACACACACACACACACACACACACACCCCAGATACAGTTTGGGTTTCCATAAGGAATCATGATGTAACTTTCATAATAGAAAGTGGCACACTGGCAAGAAGACGGATTCTCTTTTTAAACAATGTTAAATATCCATTGTGTGTACCCTAATTGTGGAATCTCTTCAGACTGCAGAAGAGTTGATACTTTTTTGCCTCCCCACACCCCTCCTCCAATTTTTTTTAATAGCAAAACATACTTGGAGGAAAGAATTCATAAAGAAGTTTTTTCCCCCCTTGGATTTTTTGTAGGCTGTTGTAATAAAAACAGCCATACCAAAAAATTAAAAATTAAACAACAAAAAAACCCATTTCTGATCAACTTTAACATTTTGAAATGCCTAGAATTGTGGAGAATGCCAGTAACTAACTCCCTTTTCTATACCATTCCTTTCTCCCCCACTCCCAACAGCGGTAAGGGCTGACCGAATGCGAGGAGGCAGGAATAAGTTTGGGCCGATGTACAAGAGAGACAGGGCCCTAAAGCAACAGAAGAAAGCCCTCATCCGAGCAAACGGACTTAAGCTGGAAGCCATGTCTCAGGTGATCCAGGCTATGCCCTCGGACCTGACCATCTCCTCTGCAATTCAGAACATTCATTCTGCCTCCAAAGGCCTACCTCTGAACCATGCTGCCTTGCCTCCCACGGACTACGACAGAAGTCCTTTTGTCACATCCCCCATTAGCATGACAATGCCTCCTCATGGCAGCCTGCAAGGTTACCAACCATATGGTCACTTTCCAAGTCGGGCCATCAAGTCTGAGTACCCAGATCCCTATACCAGTTCACCAGAGTCCATAATGGGCTACTCCTATATGGATAGTTACCAGACGAGCTCTCCAGCAAGCATCCCACATCTCATACTGGAACTTTTGAAGTGTGAACCAGATGAGCCTCAAGTTCAAGCCAAAATTATGGCTTACTTACAGCAAGAACAGGCTAACCGAAACAAGCATGAAAAGCTGAGCACATTTGGGCTTATGTGCAAAATGGCAGATCAGACCCTCTTCTCCATTGTTGAGTGGGCCAGGAGTAGTATCTTCTTCAGAGAACTTAAGGTATGCCATCAGCTATCATGAGCCACTATCTTTAAAGGAGACCTGACTAAGTTCGTTACTAACTGCTATATTCTTGGTACTGAAAATGCATTTAACTTTTATTTGTATGATTTGAAGAGGGAAGATATTTTCTGGCAATTATAGCTTACTTTGATAGTGTTTTTTATTCTTTGTAGCTCCTAATTTGGGAGATGACATTTAATGATATATAGGTCATGTTATTGTTTTTCTGTGTAGCAGAAGACATTCATTCCTTTTCAATCAGATGGTTTGTTTCCAAAACATTTAGTATCAAACAGCTACCAAACTTTTTAAAAACTACCAAATCATAAACTATATTATAAGGATGTTATCTTAAAGGTTTCTTTTAAAGGAAAGAATGCCAACATTTAACTGCATTCAGATCCTAAAGAGTGCAAATGATCCCATGGGTTAGTGATGTCAAGTAGGTATTTACTACCTGTTTAACCTTGACATTAGGTTGGTTAAGTCTTTGTTTTCTGAGCAGATTCCAATAGGATATTTACTGCTATTGGATGGGGAGTGGGTTAATGGTGAGTGTTTGTTTCCTTGGCTTCTCTCATAATGTATATCTGTGGTTGAAGTTAATAGATTGGTACATTGTAAACACAGCTCTTGTTTACATAATGATCTATGGTTAACTGCATAATGATTTTATTTCCTGAAACCTAAGACTGAATTAATATAGGAAAGTTATTTAGAAGTTTACAATCTGAGTGATGACCAAGGCACTTTTGGTAACCAGTAGTTCCATCCTGATTTAAGCAAATCCTGAATTCAATCCTGAATTCAATTTCTAAGTCTGTTCCGTTATAAAATCAACTTTATGCTATTGCTATCATGGTAAGAGATGTGATGATAAATACCCGTGACTTCTGATTACTTAGTACAAAGCAGACTTTGAGTTGAAAAGGTTGTGGTTAAAAATGCCCTGTGTACGCAGGACTAGGGAATAAAGAAGTTGTATACAAATGCAAAATAACGTTTTTCATAGAAGTCTTTTTAAAGCACCGCTGTGTGTATACAGAAACACAATTTCCCAACTAGATCTAAGCACATTAATACAATGCATAAGCAGGCAGAGAAGACTGCTGATATATCCAGCTCTATTCTCCTGTCCTTTATTGCTACACTGAAAGATGGCCTAAGAGGACAAGCAGAACGCATCCAGTTAGCATGATACACCAGATGTTTCCAGAATGTGTGGTGTAGGGAACCACTCTGATAACCAGAACATTCTTCATTTAAAGCAAAACAAAACACTCCAACTTTCTTGTATTCTTATATTCACAACCAAGTCCTTAAGAGAACAGGTAAGATGTTTTAAGATGAAGGCGTCTTTAGCTACAACTGAAAGATTAAGTGATGTATAAATGAGAAAGGCAGAGCCAAAACGGTCAGAGGGACTTGGCTTGAATGCTCTCTTCCAGGTGGGCAGGTGATCAGTGTTTCTGAGACTTAGTGTTCTCATCTGTTAAAAATTGTGCATGTGGTGTCTATGAAAGAATGCTGGAGAACTAATAATGCTTACACTGAGGTTTTCCAAGGAAAAAAATGAAAATGTATATATAATGTATGAGTTCTGAAGCATGCTACAGGCACAGTAAAGTGGCATTTTCTTTAAATTACAATTATTTTATGAAAAGCTCAATCTTTACTTAACAGTCTTACATTCAGGGGAGAAAAATACGTAAGTTTATTCTCTTATAAGTATGGTACTGGGAAACAGTATTAACAAGGATAGTATAAGTATATTGTAATGAACACTCATTAATCAATATAAATCAACAACTAAAATCTACCATGTAGGAGATTAGTTACATAAGATGAATATAAAGTTCAATGAGAAATGTATTTCTTCTTAAAGCTTGTAATTAGATAACTTCATAAATAATTACTTTTAAAAAATAAACATAAGCTTGGCATGACAGCATATGTTTGTAAATCCCAGCATTCAGAAGGTTGAGACAGGAGAATTGCTGTGAGTTCAAGGCCAGCCAGATTACATAGTGAGTTCCAGGCCAGCTTAGGCTACGGGATGAGACCCTGTCTTAAAACAAAACAAACAAGTGAACAATGAAAGTATTAAACTTTTTAAAGTATTAACTTTTTAAAAAGGCATCTGCAGAGATGTATGTCTTTAAAATTAAAATAAATTATGATTATTTTTATGTACAGAAGGAAATGGTCTGGAGTCAACTGAGCTAGCCACAGGTTAGACTTTCAGAGTGCTGGGAAAATACCATTTTTCTCCAAATTTCTTTCCCTTCTAAGATAAATTATCTAGTGAGATTATTTTCTATGACCTGGGGTTAAACGTGTGGCTGAAATGTAAATGCCTTTGGGAATGGGGTGTTGGTATCTTTATACTATTGTATATGTTTGTCAGGTTTTCATAGGAAATACTTTGAAAAGGAAAGGTACACACACTGTGGTACTTCCAAGGGGTGGAAGGTGTCCCCAGAGGACAGAAAACCCAGACCCATTCCACCTGGACTTACACTGGACAGAGGTGACTCATTTTAAGTATGTGGTACTTCTAAGGGGTGGAAGGTGTCCCCAGAGGACAGAAAACCCGGACCCATTCCACCTGGACTTACATTGGACAGAGGTGATTCAATTTAAGCATTTTTCAGAGAATAAAAAGTAGAATTCAGAGTAATGTCAGGATTGTTTAAACAGTTGTGAGATGAGTATTCACATTTGGAAGGATTTTTTTTCTGCTCATGTATAAATGTACTTTTTCCAAAACCAGAGCAAATCATTTGAAGCCAGCACTATGACATCTCTAAGGATGTGGCTGCCAATTTTTAAAAAAATTTTGTGTGTATGAATGTATTGCTTGTATGTATATAAGTGTACCCATGTCATGCAGTGTCCATGGAGGTCAGAAGACGGGGTTGGATCCCCTGGAACTGGAGTTATGGACAGTTTGTTAGCCACCATGTGGGTGCTGGGATTCGAATCCAGATCTTCTGTGAGAGCAGTCAGCGCTCTTAACCACTAAGCCTTCTCTCCAGTGCCCACGGTTGCCAAATTTTTTAATGTGACCCACAGGAAGAAATATATTTTATATTAGGACCTGGTACACCATACATCTCTCTCTCTCTCTCTCTCTCTCTCTCTCTCTCTCTCTCTCTCTTTTGTCTTTTTGAGACAGTGTCTCCCTGTAGCCCCAGCTGACCTGGAACTTGCTATGTAGACTAGACTGGCCTCAAACTCACAGGGATCCGTCTGCCTCTGCTTCCCAAGAGCTGGGATTAAAGGTGTATGCCCCCACTCCTGGCTTTTTTTTTTTTTTTTTTAATTTTGGTCATGACCCACTAAATTGGTTTCATGACCCACTAATCATGCATGACCTGCAGTTCAAGAAATGTTGCTCCAGGGAAGGACTGTGGGCTGTCCACTGATGTCACCTACCTGTCATCACCTAGACCTTCTCAAAAAGGTCTCTTGCTGGCATGATCTCTAAGACATGCCTAGCCTGTAGTCCAGTCTCCAACCATTTTAGAGAAGTTGTGATTTTGAAGTCTCATTTAAAGATGCATGCTCACCTTTGAGCATTTGTCTTTTTCTTGTTAATGTCACAACAAATTGCCCATCAAATGATAAACTTAGGGGCAGATTGCTTATACCTCTACCATCCAGGACGGAAAGCTGAATGTGTGCTTCTGGAAAATAACAGGATAATTGGGCAATTTTGCAAATGACCCCTTGATCACACTCTCGTCACAAGTTACACTTCCTACTGTGTCAAAATGAGAGAATACATATTTATTTATTAGTTAAGAAGCCCAATAGGTAGTTTTGTTTCTGTGGCTATTTGTTTATGTTTGTTTATTTGTTTGTGATAGGGTCTCACCATGTAGCCCTGCCTGGCTGTCTCTGCCTTCCAAGCTCTGTGATTAAAGGTTCACACCACCATGCCTGGCTTGCTATATATTTGTAAGATGCAAAAAAAAATATTGAAATGAGAAACAGATTACAGCCCCCAAAGCATCTGTTTGGTAATCAACACACAGAAAAAAGACAAGTATACTCATAGAAAACAAGATGTCATGACTATAAGATGAAGGGAAAGCAGAGGGGACACTTGTAAGTGAGCTGTTCTAGTCTCCATCCCAAATGATGGTATCACAATAGTGAAATTAATACTCTGCTGCTTGTCACTTTTGAAAAAATACTTTTTTTTTTTTTTTTTTTTTTTTGGAAAAAAGTTCATCAGAAGATTCCTCCTGCCTAGAGACCATAAGGTTTCTTAGAGCTAGAGCTGGTGGAATCATGTGATTTCCCCCATCTCTTTTTAGGTGTTTTTTTTTTTTCTTCAATGTGCACGTGTGTGGTATACACATGTGTATTCATGTTCGCATGGGTGTGGGCACACGTGTGTGCATGTAGAGGCCAGAGATTGTTGTTGGGTATCCTCTGTCGCACTCCACATTATACACTGATGCAGGTTCTCTCCTGAATCCAGTGCCAAAACCAAAAATCTGGCCAGCTAGCTTGCTGGGATTCCCTGTCTCTCCCTCCTGCACTGGGATTATACGATGGCCATTTTACCACCCAGATTTTTACACAGGTTCTGGGGATCAGAAGCAAGTGCTTTATTCATGGGATATCTCTCCAGCTCCTCTTTTCACATGGAGAAACTGAGGCAGAGGGGTCTGGTTTGCCTCAGTCCATAGCTGCTGAAGGACAGAACTGAGTCTCAGAGACAGGCAGAGAAGCAAACCTGTGCATCCTTCCTCAATAGAAACACACACACACACACACACACACACACACACACACACACACACATTTGACCTTTGACTCCAAAACCACAGGCCTTTGCTAGGAAAGTTAAAGCATATCTCTAGGCTATCAGAAGTTCATCACTACCACCATTAAATCACTAATAATCAGCGAGAGGATTTCCCTGAGCTCAGACAACCCTAGGGACTAAATGAGTCACTTTAGAAAGCCTCAATAATTCTTTC